ATATATACAATGGAATATTACTCAGCCATAAAAAGGAACGAAATTGGGTCACTTGTAGAGATGCGGATGGACCTAGAATCTGTCATACAGAGTGAAGTAAGTCAGAAAGAGAAAAACAAATATCATATATTAATGCATATATGTAGAATCTAGAAAAACGGTACAGATGAACCGGTTTGCAGGGCCTAAATAGAGACACAGATGTAGAGAACAAACACGTGGACACCAAGGGGGGAAAGCGGGGGTGGCAGGGTGGGGTGGTGGTGGGATGAACTGGGAGATTGGGATTGACATGTATACACTAATATGTGTAAAATAGATAACTAGTAAAAAAAAATTATATATATATATATATATAATTATGTTAAGGAAAAATAAAAAATAAACCTCACTAATATAGTGAACGTATGATTCTTAGCACAGAGCCTGAGAGATAAAGACTAGTAAAGACTCCGTAAATGGTAGAGACAGTTATTACTATTGTCACAGAGCCTGATAAAAACTAGTAAGCACTCAACAAATGGTCAAGACCATTGTTACTACTGTCACGGCCAGCTTCATGGGCATTTAACTGGTGTAGTCACACAGGACTCTGCTCAGAAGGGTCCTGAACTTGGCTTAATGCTCTCTTGTCACCATCTTGAAATTCTTACTGATTTTGAAGAAGGGGCCCACGTTTTCATTTTGCACTGTGTCCTCCAAATTATGTAGCCAGTCCTGATTATTTTGTATAGTTGTCTGTCATTTATTAAAATACTGATTCATAATATGTATAAAATATTGAATTATCACTTAAAACGATCAAATTCCATCTCTGCCTCTTATCAGCTAGAGGACCATGAGAGAATACTTACTATCTGTCTCAGTTTCCTCTTCTATAAAAGAGGGGTAACAATAGTACTCCGTAAGGTTACTGTGAAAGTTTAAATAACACAACACATGCCAAGTACCAAGATCAGCACCCGGCACATCGTTCCTACTCCAAAAATATTAACTATTATTATTATTAACTTCATGAAAAAAAGGCAACCTTGGGCTTGGTTTTTCCTACTGCACATTTTGGGGAGGGGATTATTGAACTAGACCCATGGTTCTGGAATTTATCTGAGCACCAGATTACTTGGAGAATCTGATGGCTCTTTGAGGAAATACCTCCCAGAAAAACACAGATAGTCCACGCACATATGCACACATCTTGCCTGCAGTTTCAGGCCATTTATGGGCCTCTGAGGCCAAGGCTCAGGCCCAGGTCAAGATCTGAGGAAAGCAGAGATCACTACTGGCCCTTCTAGTCCTGGAGTCTGTGGGTCTCTGGGGTGGAAACCGCCAGGCAGCACGTTACTACTTAAGGACCGGGTGTATGCTGGCTTTGAGCTTTTAAGTCAGCGGCTATTTTTAGCTTTGCTATATATGGCCAGGGGAGGAATGTGGGGCTATAGGCGGGGGAGGGGTGCCAGGAGGCTTAGGGCAGAGTTTGGGAGGCTGGAGCTCCTTTGCCTTGACCACCTTACCCTTCCCACCAAAGAATTGGAGCTTAACTTCCAGCCAAAGCAACAAGCATGGGGAAGAGAGGTCTGTGGATTTAGGAGTGGCAGGGGCTTACATGAAGATGCCAGGTCAAGTCACTTTAGAACAGTGATATTCATACTTTTTTGACCGTGACCTGCAGTAAAAAAATATATGTTTGAATCATGACACACACATAAACACATTTTTTTTTGCCCATGATGAATAATTTATTAATCTACCATGAAATCATAAAAATAATAAAGTGCGAATTTTCTATACTGTTGAATTTAATTTAAAGAGCCATCTTTTATTCTTGATTAAGTACTTTGTGTGGAGATATTAGTAGACAGTAGTCATCAATGTAGAAACACAGACGTTTTAATACACACACAATATATATACATATATCCATATATGTATATATATACATATATCTCCAACTGAACAAACATTTCAGGAAACAATACTTTATCTCATTCTCTATGAAACACTTCGATATTTTCTATTCTGTTCTGTTCTATTCTATTCTTTCATTTTTTTAAATGCAGGTCATGACCCAATAAATTGATTTTGCCAATGAGTCAACATCTCCAGTTTGGAAATCTACTCTTTTCTTTGGTTTGGAGCAGGCAGACACCTGTAACATTGGACTGCAAGGTAAGGCAGGGAGTGGAGGAAAGGGGACATATTATCGCTTAGCTCAGTACTTCTCAAAACTGGGGATAAGATGAAAGTTTCAGCTTGATATCTGCTGGATGGCAAGCTTTGGACCTCAGAGTCTTTGTACACTGTTCTCTCCACCTGGAGCAGCATCCTCCACCCTTGTCACCTGGTTCACTCTGGTACTTCAGAGCTCCACTTGCCACTTATTCCAGGAAGCCTCCCTGATTGCCTCAGTCTGGTTAGCTGCCTGCTTCTTGCTCCCTTAGTCCCTGGCACATCCCTGCTTGGCACCCAACACAATTTTTTCTTAGATTCTCTGGAAGGCAGGGACCTTTCCCATCCTGTTCGTTTCTACACTCTCCTCACCACCTGCCCACCACCCACCCAGTGTAGTGTAGCACTGGCTTCCTAATAATCACTCAGTAAATATTTATTGAATGAATTGATGATAGTTAATAGTAATAATGGCAACTACACATTCATCGCATGAGAAATCTTAGGAGAGATCAGTATAAATCCATTTTAGGGATGAGGAAACTAAAGCTCCAAGAGATCAAATAATATGATGGGGGGAGGGGAATAATCCAGCGTTGCCTGACTCCCAATGATACCTAATCACAGGATCTTATTTGTCCACATTCCCCTCAACACTGTCCAGGATGGGGCAAAGGGCAGGTCCTTAACAACCCCTGGGAGAACTGATGACAGGTTGATTAAAGAGATTTTCCGAAGCAGTGGCCACATCTAATTTTGGAGGGTTGCACTCGTGGGAGAGGATCTATGAGGTTTCCAGGCCCCCTGGATGTGGGGCTGTCTCAGTCCGGAGGGCTTCTGACAAACCAGGGAGGCAGGCCTTCCGATGACACACCTTTCTAGGCTCCTGGACACACTTAGGCTAAAACCCAAGGCCCTGCAAATCTGTGTGACCTGGCCCATGCCTGCCACTCCAGCGGCAGCCCCATCAGCCCGGCCTGTTCCGCTCATTCACGCGGATCCCGCCGCTCCGGTGTTCTTGCTGTCCTCACCCATGCCGAGCCCAGTCCTGCCTCAGAGCCTTTGCAGTCGCCATTCCCTCTGCCTGGGGTCTTCCTTCCCTCTCTAGTCCTCTCCACCCTACTTCTCAGGAACCCCCCCATCCAAAAACATCACCCTCTTCCTTCTCTGCTATTTTTTTCATAACACTAGTAACTTCTGGAAATTGCATATATGTTCATTTTCCGGTTTATTTCTGTCTTCTTCATCAGACAGGGAAGTCCCTGAGGACTCTGCTTGCTCACTGCCCTGGCCCCTAGGACTCGCTGTGGGAGGGTGCCTGACACACAGTTGGTGATCCATGAATGAATGAATGGGTTTCCCCCGTTTTAGACATATTGGGACATCGGCCTCTAGTTTCCCAGAAATGTGTGTCCCTGCGACTCACATCCAGGCCCCCAACACACACAAACTGTGGTTTGGGGAGGGGAAAGAAGGAAGGAACTTTCAGCACATGCGTACTTGCACCACTTTGCATGGGTAACTGGTGTCCAGCAAGCATGCAAGGATTATCTCCATTTGGTAATTGGAGAATCTGAAGCTTGCTCTCTGCTTGTCCCCAGTGTGTAGTGTAGTGTCTGGCATAAACATCTGGTGAACTTAATTGCACTGAATTGCAGAGGCTCCACAAACTGCTCAAGGTCACCAAATTAGGAAACGTGGAGCCAGATTTTGTTCAATTCCAGCCAGGGTTGCATGGCCGCCATGGTGCCATAGAAACTAGAGGGACACAACCTGTTAACATTCGAGGGCGGGTCCTCACCAGACATTCACCAGTTGGTAGCCCAGTCAGGAGCCCATCCTGCACCTGAGGCCATTCTCTATCTGCTTCTCCAACATAATTTTCCCATCAAGGTTCAGTTCAGATGTCACCTCCTCGAAAGCATCCCCTGATCTCCTCAAATCTAACTTCTCTTTTCTGCCACAGCACTCTGTGAATACTTGTGTATAATTGTTTGTCCACAAGCCTATCTTTGAACCCATGGGATGTATCTTGTTCCTCTTTATATCGAACCCTTTTTACAGTGCCTGGTGAATAGGTGGTACTACAGGAATATGCACTGAATGAAAGGATGCTTGGATGGATGGGTGGATGGATGGATGGATGGATGGACAAATGGGTGGATGGATGAATGACTGGAAGAACAGATAAATGGATGGATGGATGGATGGATGGATGGATGGATGGATAACTGGGTGGATGGATGGATGAATGGATATGTGGACGGATGAATGGGTGGATGGATGGATGGATAGATAGATGAATGGTTGGAAGAACAGATAAATGGGTGGGTGGATGGATGAGTGGATAGATAGATGAATGGTTGGAAGAACAGATAAATGGGTGGGTGGATGGATGAATGGATATGTGGGTGGATGGGTGAGTGGGTGGGGGGATGAATGAATGAATACTTCATGATCTATTGATTGAAAATAATTTTCATGGCAAAGTTGACATTAGACACCAATTCTTCTGGAGCATATTCCACATCTGATGGTACACCTAGCATGCAACAGTAGCAGTAGTGTCTTACTGAATGTGTATTTCTATGGCAGGCCTTGCATTAGAAGCACTTCTGCCAATCCTCTCAATAGCTCCGTTATTGACCCCACTTTACTAACAAGGAAATGGATGCAGACAAAGGTGGAGCCGCTTGCCCGAAGCCACACAGCAGATAACATCCTGGCACCTCTGATTTGGTGCTGTACTGCCCCTGGATCTTCCCACCCACCACCCGTCTTCCTCACCCTGCCTGGCCCCTCCCCCAGGTCCGCAGGCCCCAGGCTGGGCTCACCTCCATCTGCATAGGTCTCCGTGCCGTAGCCGTCCTGCAGGCCATTGTTCCAAGTGCCCTCATACTTGGCACCGCTGCTGCTGCTCTGCCGGGTTCCGTAGCGTCCCTTGAAGCCGTGCGTCCACTCGCCCTTGTACAGCCAGCGTCCCTTGGTCTCTATGCCCAGCCCATGCCGTTTGCCCTGGCTCCAGTATCCCTCGAAGGTGTTTCCACTGGGCCAGGTATACACACCCGCCACTTCAAAGCCAAAGTTCCAGGAGCCCGAGTATTCGCCCTGGCCCTTGGGGCCCGTGCACAGTCCGTGCCCGTGGGCCTTTCCCCCCTCCCAGCCCCCGCAGTACGCCCCGCCATCATCAAAGTCAAAGCGGCCCCCGCTCATCTCATCGTAGCCCCTGACCACCTCACCGTCCTCCAGCTTCGGGGGAGAGGGCAATGGGGGGGGGTGGTGCCAGCGACTCTCTCCAAGCAGCTCAGGGCCGCCCCCCCCCACCCCGGACTCACTGCGCCCCTGGAGGGGGTAAGCAAGATGCCACCCGAGGCTGAAGGAACCCAGGAGCCAAGTCAGCACTGGGTCGGCTGGTCAGTGCCATGCCTGGGAGGCCCCCACTCACTCAGCCAGAGGAAGGCTGCCAGCTGGGGAGGAAGTGGGAAGGAGAGGTTCAAAGTGTCCACGGAGTGTCCCAAACCCGGCTTCCATGGAGTCAAAGGAAAAACGGTGTGATCCCTTTAAGAAGTGCAGTGAACGGGGTGGGGTGGAGGGGTCCCCAGTCCGTTTTCAAAGAGGAGAAATTCCCCCTCGGTGACAACCCCCAGCGCGAGGTTGAATTCCTGCAGCCCGCTGGCTGGCCCCCTTCTCCGCCCGCGGTGGCTGAGATCCCCCCAGCCCTGCCCCGCCCCTCTCCAATCCTGCCCTCCTCCTGGGATGGAAAGGTCAGTGTTGCCCTAACAAGGCCATTGGAGCTCAGAAGCTGCTCCCAAAATAACCCCCTGGCCGGCCCAGCCTCCTTCAAAGTGGGAGGGGTATTTCAAACTGGGCTAGCGCTTCAGACTCAGGGAGTGGTTGGAGGGATGAGGACGGGAAGCTGAGAACTAAGCGTGGGCAGCTGGGGAGATTTGGTGGCTTTTCTTCTCTTGGGTAAGAGCTCCCTTCCACCTTCCTGGTCCCCTGAGTCTGCAGGCAGGGAGAGGAGAGGAAGACCAGCAGAACACCCGGTCCCGGAGCACTTAGAATCCCCCAGAGCACAGAAGTTAGCAAATCTCAGCCCCAGCACCACTCACATGCCCCCGCAGGACCCGGGGCTATTACAGCACCACTGCCAACCCCATAAAGGAATCTGGTGACCTAAAGAGAAAGGAACGGGGCGTGGGTTCACATATGCTTTGGAGAGTGGAGGAGAGAACTCAGGAAGAGAGGTGAGGTTCTGGAGACAAGAGTTGGGAAGATAAAGCGAGTCTGAGTCTAGCACAACCCCAAATTCCCTCCCTTCCCCCCAACCCTGGGAAAACCCTGGAAAGAACACAGTGCAAGAAGCACGGGTCACGGACCACTCCCTTTCTCTCTCCTGACGGGCAGGAAGGCTGCCCTCCTCTCTCTAGTTCTGAGACACAGTGTTGCTGGTTGTACTGGAATGAGGTCGTCTCAGAAATACTCAAGGATTGTGATTTTTTTTTTTTTTTTAATTCCCTTTCCAAGCTCTCTTTTGCTGTGTTGTCCTAAGAGCCTGGGAGGCCAGACTTCAGAAAGCTCTTGGGGCAGGGTCAAGAGCAAAGGGACTGACCAGCACTCAGGTTCCCACCAAAATCCAGTGAAAGGGACAAATGAATCTCCAAGACGAGAGGCAGTGGCCAAGGCTAGAGAGACTGGAAATTCCAACTGAGCCCAGGGTTACCAGGAACACGGAGTAATTTTGGGAAAGATAGGAGCCACCAAGCACAGGAAGCAGTGTGTGTGTGTGTGTGTGTGTGTGTGTGTGTGTGTGTGTGTGTGTGTGTGTGTGTGTGTGTGTGTGTGTGTGTGTGTGTGTGTGTGTGTGTGTGTGTGTGTGTGTGTGTGTGTGTGTGTGTGTGTGTGTGTGTGTGGGAGATGGGGGAGGAGGAGGATAGAAAAACTCACCAAAAAAGCAAGCACAGAAGTGACTTGAGAACATTCAACTATTATTCTCTAACTTCAGACTAATCTGTCATACTCCAAATCCCATGATGACTTAGGCCACTTAAAGTTGCTGCAGAAGATGTGTTCTTGTCTAAGGAATGGATAGAAAAGCCTCTCTCCCTTCACCCCAGCTGATCCTGGTTCTTACCACTTGGTTCCTTCCTCGTTCACAACCCTCTGTCTTAAAGAGCCCTTCTCTGCCCACATCTCACCCCCAGGTAGAAACACCCAGCCCCAGAGCTCTCTACTGCTGGTTCTTTGCCAAGCTGACACGCAGCAAAAAGCAGTAGCTAAAGACTGTATCATCCGGGTTTTGACTCACTCCTCCCGCGGATTGGCCGACAGCCTGCTTGCACAATTCACAGCTGAGAGCACCTCAATGCTGCCCCAAAAGAGTTCTGCTGTTGCCACTTCTGATGGGTCTTTGGAAAATCACACGTTTCTTTCCAGCTCTGCTCTCCAGGGGAGAGGAAAGAGCATCTCAAACTGGAAGCCAGAGGGAGTTCAATACCCTTTGTGGTTAAATGCCAGCCAACTCACCATGATCCTGTTCTAAGGCTGGTGGCTACTGCGTTCTAGGGAGCTGTTCCGCCTGCATAAGTGTAGCCACCGTACAGCTCCCTACGGTGATTCCCTACCAAGGGTGGGTACGCGTAAGAATCACGTGTAGAACTTAAAAACATGAACAGATTCCAGAGTTCCCCCCCCCCCCCCGCCATCTCCAACCTACTGAATTAGATAGTCCTGGGAGAAGGCTTGGGCACTTGCATTCTTTTTAAAAGCTGCTCAGATGAATCTGACCCTCATCCCTGGTTAAGAACCACTGTGGGGGCAGTGCGGGGTGGGAATGAATTGGGAGATTGGGATTGACATATATACACTAATATGTAAAAAACAGATAACTAAAAAGAAACTGCTTATAAAAATAAATAAATAAATTAAAAAAAAAACCCCACACACAAATGGGGAGGGGTTTAAAAGTCATCTTGTCCAATCCCTATCAATATATCCAGGAGATTTTTTACAGAACTAGAACAAATAATCCTAACATTTATGTGGAACTGCAAAAGAGCCCGAATTGCCACAGCAATCCTGAGGAAAAAGAACAAAGCTGGAGGTATAACCCTCCCAGACTTCAGACTATACTACAAAGCTACAGTGATCAAAACAGTGTGGTACTGGCACAAAAACAGACACATAGATCAAGGCAACAGAATAGAGAGCCCAGAAATAAACCTACATACCTATGATCGATTAATCTATGACCAAAGAGGCAAGAATACACAATGGAGAAAAGACAGTCTCTTCAACAAGTAGTGCTGGGAAAACTGGACAGACACACATAAAAAAAAAAAGAAGCACTGTATGTTTTCAAATTAAGAAACAGTTTCTTAATGATGTACAAATTCATGCATCCACTTACTTACCATCGGCTGTGTCAGGTAGATAGTTGTGGAGTTAGATTTGTGTTCAGATCCCAGTTCTGCCCCTCACAAGCTGTGTGGCCTTGGACAAATTGTTAATTTCTCTAAGCCACAAATTCTTCATCTGTAAAAGTACCTATCTCAAAGGATTCTTGGTATTAAGGATAATAGTATCTACCTTATATGGCTGGGTGAGTATTATGTGAGTTAATGCTGTAAAAAGGCTTAGAACAGACTAAACACCTAATAAATGTTAGCTAATATCAATATTATCCTCACACGACAAGTTGCTTTTCAAACTATCATGATTAATAAAATAGTCACCAAAGAGGGAAGAATCACCCCTAAATATTAAGTACATTGACACTGAAGCCCTCCTTACTCTTCGCAGTACATGTTTACTCAACGTTACCCTGTGGTTTTTCCTTTTTTAAACTGATAAACTGTGTTATTGGTAAAGGGACACTTTGATTTCTTAAAAGTTTAAGTAAATTCTTTGCCAAATTTGGTACTGGCCTTAAGTGACCAGCCATTCCTTTTTTGCATCTCCCTTTAAACCAGTGAGTTTCAAGGAAAGGGAGACCCCTCGTGGCCACATGCACATGACAACAGATTTTTCTTAGGAAAACCAAGTTCTTCAAACCAAAGAGAATGGTCTTGGGATGAATTTTAAACTGTTTTTATAGGTAGCTATCCCATTCTCTCTTTTTCACAGGGTTTTTCTCACTCCATGGTTCTGTTCTTTGGTCGGAGGGGGCAGTCACTTGCTTCCTCTATTTCTTTCTCAACTTCTCAAGCACGGCTTCTTCCTAGGGAAGGTGGAGAGGAGAGAATTGAAAATGCAGAACAGAGAACAAATGCACACAGATATCCACTTGAGTTTCTTCTCAGCCATCAAAGACTTAGCTGAAGAAGCCTCACCTCCCAGACAAGTTACCTGGCTGGGTTATGTGCCTTCCCACATACTGGCTCCTCCCTCAAACTATGAACTGTTTGAAGCAAAGATTACCTTGATTCCAAAAAAAAAAAGAAGTGCATGAACACGTCCTAAGTGCCTGCCTGGCACTCTGACTTCTCTTTGCGTGCCTGGCACCTGCACATACTGGGTGTCCTCATCTTCCATTCTGCGCATTATTTGGCAACTGACCACTCCCTTCTCGAGATGCTTTCTCATTCGACTTCTAGGGCTTGTCTCTTGGTTCTGCTCCTGCCTCGCCGGCTGCTCCCACTCAAGTCTTCTGCTGGTTCCTCCTCATTCCCCTGATCTCTATACCTTGGAAATGGCCCAGAGTTTGGTCCTCTGACTGATTACCTACATTTACTTCCTAGGTGATCTCCTTCAGTTGCAGAGCTTTCATTAACAGCCACATCCTGATGGCTCCTAACTTTGTATCTCCACCCTGTACCTCTCTCGATCTTCAGTCACATAACCAACCTCCAACTCAGCATCTCTACGTGATATCTCATGAGCATCTCAGACTTGGGAAGAACAAAACCAAACTCCCAAGGTCTCCTCCCAGATCTGCCCCTCCAGCCAACTCCCAGTGTATTAAAACCTTTGAAGTCATCCTTAATACCAACCCTTCTCTCACACCCTCTATCCATCAGCTCTACCTTCAAAATAATCCCGGGATACGTCTTCCCTCCCGCACTGCCAAGCATCCGAGCCACTAGAAACCACTGCCTACTGCAGGAGCCTCCTGACGGCCTCCTTCCCTTCCTTCTCCTGGTTCCCCTCTTAGTCTACAGAGCAGCCAGTGCTCTTTCTAAAAGACAAGTCTGATATGTCTCTCCTCTCCTCCAAACCCCCTCAAAAGCTCCCTATCTCTTCAGGAGTCAAGGCCTTTAAAACGGCCTCTGAGGGCCTCCACGATCTGCCCCTCACACTTCTGGACTTCGCCTGCTTCAAGCCACAGATATCCTTGCTGTCCTCTGCCAGGAATGCTTTTCCCCCAAACATCCACATGGCTCACTCCCTCACTTTCCTCTGGTCTCTGCTCAAATGTCACCTCACAGAAGCTTCTCTGATCACCCCGATTAAAATGGCAACCCCCCCCCCCCCCCCCACTCTATACCTTGGAAATGGCCCAGAGTTTGGTCCTCTGACTGATTACCTACATTTACTTCCTAGGTGATCTCCTTCAGTTGCAGAGCTTTCATTAACAGCCACATCCTGATGGCTCCTAACTTTGTATCTCCACCCTGTACCTCTCTCGATCTTCAGTCACATAACCAACCTCCAACTCA